CGGCGGCGGCGTCGTGTGCGACGCCCAGGTCAAGCCAGCACAAAGCGACGACGGGTTGTCGGCGACTGTCGTTGAGCAGGTGCTCACGACCTTGCTTCGGTGCTACGAGGTGTCTTGGGCGTTTCCTGAGCAGCCTCAGACGGTGGATTTTGAGGCGCTGGATTTTGACAGGCCTGGACCGCCCCGGATGAATGTAAGGAAGACACGCCATTCGTATTTATTCTCGCGTCGGACCTGACTGACAAATTTCTAGGATGACTTGAGAGTCAGGGTTTCGAGGAGAGTGTGGCCGGAGATGACAGGAGGGTGTTAGAAGAGATCTCCTCAACCTAGAACAAGAGCCAGTCCGGTATAATATAGGTAAGAAAACAACAGGGTTTGAACCAATACAAATGTCGATTACCACCTTATACCAACATGACTTCCAATTGAATTCACACAAGCATACCCCTTGTGCAATATTTCTTCTACTGAAGTATGACTTCAATCTATCAAGCATGCAAAACAGATACATAAGTTAAGAGATCTCATTGTGGCCAGCTGATTGAGCTTGTAAATGGTAATGTAGAAGTAAGGCGAAGTTCGGAGATCAGGAGATGGTCAAGAGAATCAAAGGACCACCGGGTCGGGAAGTCAGAGGCCGAAGCAATTGCTAGGATGGACCCAGCGCTGTGTAAGTCAACCAACCGAACATTATGCTTGTAGGGAAACGCCTGCCCATCAACCGGTGCATCTCATGGCACAGTAAAAATAGGTAGGTTCTCAGAAAATGACGAATCAGAAGATCCCATAACAAACAGGACATTGCTAGACGAGCAGATATTAATTTCACATCCGGTGATGTTAGCGAAGACAGGCACGATAGTAAGTCCACTTGAAAAGAAAACGCACATCGTTTACATCAGGTTTGTTTGATTTGCCTGAATTACAGATACTGTAGTGGCTATAATAGACATGAAGTGCGGCGATTTGCCTATGCTGGGTGCTATTCGCGTGCTCCCTCACGCATTTTGTTCGGTTCCCCCCTCGATCATCCACCGTCTTAATCCTCGTGATATCTCATCTTTCGCAATACCCTTCCTTCGCTAATGCCCGTGGAAAGAAAATCTCAAACATGGTATCTTGTGCTTTCCCCGATTCCGAACGCCCCTTTTTTGGATACCTCCGTGTAACGCCTTGAAATGATTTGTGAATTGGTACAGTGTGGAGAGACCTTCCGTGCCTCCCCAGGATGTGCTTCGGCCCTTAGCTTCTCGTAACCGCAGCGGGCGGTGTCGCGATGGTGGGTGGTGTTGAAGACGTAGAACCGGTGGCCGTGCCGTAGTCTGGAGGCAGTGAGCCCCGGCCAGCTCCTGCCGCGCCGATGAGAGGTGGTGGGGGCATGTGCTCGACGTGGGCCATCTCGAAGCTGCCATCCCGGGTGACGGCCTGACCGGGCTTGGCTTTCGGCTCGTAGGCAGGAGGGGCCTCGCCGAACTCGTCCAGACCTTCGTCGGGGCGGGTGGTCCACGCCCAGCGGCCGTTTCGCGATGAGCGTTGACCTCCAGCTCTTTGACGATTTGCTTCGAGGTCGCGACGGGGCCACGGGCGTTGCAGGCCAAGCCTGCGGAGACGGCGGCGGCGCTGGAACTGGATGAGAGTTGCGAGGATGCCGATGGAGAGGAAAACGATGAGAGGCGTGAGGATCCAGGTGTAGGGCGCGGAGGAGAGGCCAAGGCCTTCGCCGCTGCTGCCCAGAGAGCTGCTGTCCGTGGACGACATAATGTGCTGGTCGGTGTCGTGTGGTGCAGATGCCGGTTGACCAAGAAGCAAAGAACGAGCCAAATCGTTGGCGAACGCGGCGAAGAGTTATAGTAGGCGTGTAAGAGGGCGCAGTGAATGACTGGCAGGGATGTTTGTTGGTGGTAAGCAGCCCTATTTTGTTTGTTGGGTTGTCTGTTGGTTGGTTGGTGGCTATTATCGTTGTGAAAGGGAAAGAACCCCTGGTGGTGTGTCGAGTCGGAGCGTAATACACAAAGGCGCAGAGGGCGAAACAGGGAACGGATAGTGGCAGCGATGGTGATGCAAAAGGCAGCGACGATGGGCTTTCACGGCCTCATAGCGTGGCTCAGTTTCGCGGGTTCGCTAGTTTCGTCTGGATTCCCGTAGCACTAATAGCTTGGGTGGATCGGAGAGAAGGACAGCCGAAAGATGGTGAAGACGGATTGATGGTGTTACTGTTGGTGAGAGAAGGTTAAGGACGACGGGCGCTTGGTGAGCAAGGGAAAGGCTTGCTTCAAGCTGGAGTCGACTTCGCGTTGCCGCTCGTGCCTGGCCGGTGAGGTGGGTGGGTTATGCAGGGCCCAATAATTCCTTGATTGCAGTTCGCGTGGGTGCAGATCTCGAGGTCGACTGGGTTGGCTGGTGTTTGACGTACCAGGGAGACCGAGGAATAAACGAGGGACGTCGCAAAAAGGAAGGAAACGAGAGAGAGGGAGCGGACCAAGAAGAAAGAGCGAGAGTCTTGGGGAAGCGGGAAATGGTGGCGGGAGAGATATTGGATATTTGGCAGCGAATGCCAAACAATAGCGGAGGTCTTGAAAGTGAAAGTGGATTTGAGACCTGAATTCCAACGGCAGGGGCAGGAAGGAAGCAACCGAGACCAGGCCAGGTTGTTGTTACGGATACTGCTGGATTGAACGAGCTTGGACGAGCCACCGAAGGGAGCTAGGCCGGATATCGTCAGACTCTTGAGGGTAGGTTCGATGCATTCGTATTCCAAACTCTCGGAGACGAACAAGGCCACTATTAATTAGTAGCGTGGACGCGTCTGGTTTCTAGGGCGCCGGTGGCATGGCTGACGGCCTTGGGCTGTGCGTCCGACGTGCGTGCGAGTGCGGCTGTCTTGTGTATGCCGTGTGCGATTGCGATAGGATTGCGAAAGGAAGGGAAGCAGGCAGGCAGGCAGGGCAGGGCAGGGCAACGCTGAAAAGGGCACAGCCGAGGGACGAAGATAGGATTAGTAGGTTGGTGGTGTGCAAGAGATGAGGCAGCACGGTCAACGGCTCGGAGGGTGAGAAAAGCAGAAGGTAAGGTAAGCAGGAGGAAAGACGAGGCAGAGAGAGAGAGGTACGACACTGTTGAAGAATGGGACGAAGCAGGCGTTGCGACGAGAGCAGGACTTGACTCGGGGCGATTTGTCCCGTGCCTGCATACTACGTATGCTCACGAACACAACCTGCGCAGGAACGAATAGCAAGCAAATCGGTATTGCATTTGATCTTTACTTTACCTGGTAGGTAGGCTGGATAATGAGCCCTGGGGTCGCAAATGACCCCCGTCGGCTGGTTGCCAATCTGGGTGCCAATCGTCAGGGACGGGGCTTGGCTTTTTTTGGAGTCGCACGTCATGGGTTGCGCTAGCCGTGTCGTGTTTAGCAGCAACGTCCGCTGAAGGGATGAACCGGTCCACTAGAGGCTGCAAATCACTTTCCTGCGAGATGTCAAATACCACCCCAACATTTGCGCTGCTGCTCTGCCGTGTGTCTGCTTACGCATCGCACCCGCACTCTCTCTCATATCCACGTCGTCCTCTCTCCTCTCCTCGCCCACCCGGACCCGAATGCACTGCTGCGAGGATAAGGGTCACCTCGGTCTCCAGTGTAAGGTACCTGCATGTACGGATGGATACTGTCCTGCATGGCGGCTCTGTGAAGTAAGGTACCCAATGCAATGTATCCACTGTTCACTAATTAGGTACGGCGTGCACTCAAATCCCGCCGGGCTTAGCACCGCAATCTATCGACTACTGCACATCGCGGCTGTTTCAGGGACGCTCGCTTCGATTCACACTGACGGAGTACAGATTGTCAAACAGACTTGGAATTAAATCTTTGCAAATTCTTCCATTGGGGCATCCTCTGCTACCTTAGTTCGTATGAACGCCCGCTGCGAATCGCACTCGCACGTCGCAACTCGGGGAGACCCACCCACGATGCCCTGTCTGCGCACAATGAGAAGCTTCACAAACATCCCTCGGTATCCGCGCATCTCGGAAATCTGCGCGCAACGTCGAGGGAATTTTCGAGGGCGATCGACCTCGTCAAAAGAAACTTGACACGCGTCTAATCACACTCGATGAACCTTGTTCCACTCCTTGGCGGCCGTTGGCACACATGATCAAATTGAAATGCTCCCAAAAAGTTCCGACGCGACTCGTAGCTGTCCTCGTCGAAAGTGTGCCGTCGGCATCTCCAGGCGCAACTCTCACCTGCGAGCAATATCGCAGAAATTGGCCAAAGGACAGCCGCAGACAGCGACGGCAATCAATCACTGAAAGTGGACGAGGCGATAGAGTGGAGGTGGGAACCGCACGGAGGGCCCGTCCACAGCATCCCTGACGATCCATCATCCATCCACCCGCGTCCGATGTTTGCGATGTGGGGGCCACAACTTTGTGTTCATCCATCAACCTGCTGCAGCCCAGTGCAGATTCAATCGTCTTGTGAAAGGTGAATACCACTGAACTCAAAAGAAGGCCTGTCACTGGCTGCGTTTCCCCAGTGTCATGTCAGGGATCTTGCAAATTGGCCCTTGCGCCAGGATCCAAATCTCTCTCGCCCCCCGTTGGAAAGTTTGTGTCGCACCTCTGAGTGGCTGGCCTGCCTGCTGGTCGAAGCCCCCCCAGGCCCCTGCACTGACACCAGTGACCACCACGTTGAGAGACTGAGGTCAGCTTCCCTGCCTAAGGCCCCACCCCAGTCTTGAAGCTTCCAAATTGTTTTGTCGACGATCCAATTCCACCCTCGTCAACCCGTCGGCCACGTTTGCGACACAAGCTCATCAGCGGCTCAGAAACAACCCGGCACGCGGCCGCCGCCATTGACGAACAACAGCGACAGTTTTACCTTGACTCCAGCCCCGTCGCTTCCCGCCAAACTCTACGCGAGAATCCGCCCTGTGGCCGTACCGACGACTGCAACTCTGAACACTTGGAATTATCCCTCTCGCAATCCACCCGCCATGCCTCGCGCCATCCGAGGTAAGCACCATATCGCCCGCCGCAGCCTTCCACGCGGCACCCGTTTTCCAGTTTGCTGACGTCCCGGCTTTCACAGGAGTGCTCATCGAGTGCGACCCCTCCATCAAGTCCATTATCGTCAACATCGACGCCGCAAACCATGATTACATCATCGAGGACCTCGACGACCAGCACGTCGTCGTCAAGGAGAACATGGTCGCCGCGCTAAAGAGACAGCTCGACGATGTAGGTTCCACCATAAACGAGCAGTCCCCCCACTTCACGATGCACATTGCTGCATATTGACGCTTACTTGAGACAATATGCTGACGACTTGCCTACAGAAATTGAAGGAGACGCAGCAGCCTGACGAAAGTTCAGATTCTGATTAAGCAACTGCCGACAAGTCCGATCGCTTGGGCACGGGTTGGTTTATTATATCTTTCCGGAGATTCCCGCACTCTCTATATCTGCCTTCGTCGTTGCGTCGTGCCGTCATGTGACCGTGGCTGTGTCAACGACCGCCATGACCTTTCTCACGCCGACGTCAACCTGGCACGGAGGCATGACGACGCTCTATAATACATCAGGATGGGATGAAACCCCCTCAACATAGCGACTGTGCCTTCCCAAAGGCAGCTAGTGTCCCGGCGTTCTAGCAAGCATGCCATAAGAATCTACTGTGTTGAATAATCCGGTTTGTTTATGGTGGATTTAGCAGTTGCAAACAGCGCAAGTGTGTTCTAGAGCTTGGCAAACGTGGGCTTGGTCTTGGTCAGTCCGGACATCATGGCAGTCTTGAAGTCGCCTGATTGCAGCATGGCCGCGTTCCAGACGGTGGTGTATCGCAAACCTTGTGGCCTGGTCAGTAGACAACTCATCAAACGAGGATAGAAAACAAGACGAATATAGAAAGAAAGCTTCGGGACAGTGCTTACTCTCCGCAACCGAGTGATCCCTCGCGTGGTTCAGCAGCTCCTTGGTGCCCTGCACCGCCACCGGGCTCTTGCCGGCGATGAAGCCCGCCAGCTTCAGCCCCGCGTCGAGCGCGGCGGCCTTGTCCGCGTGCACCTGGCTGACGAAACCTACCGCCAGCGCCTCCTCGCCGGAGAAGTCCCGGGCCGACAGGCAGACGTCCTTGACCCACGACGTGCTGCCTACGAGCTTGGGCAGGCGGCTCAGGGTGCCGAGGTCGGCCGCCAGCCCGATGTCGACCTCCTTGACGGAGAAGCGCGTGTTCCGTGCGCAGATGCGGACGTCGGCGCAGCATGAGATGTCGATTGCGATTCCGATGGAGATTCCGTGCAGGACGCAGATAACGGCTATCGATTATGTTAGCTATACAGATTTCCGTCGTCTCTTCTCATCCAGTCATGGATATGGCAACATAAAATCGGGATGGAAATAGCAGCAAATGACAGGGGGAATTTTTTCAACATACGCTTCTCGCATTTTTCTACCGCGTCGATGGCGGCTTGGAACTCGACAATGTGGCGGCGCATCATGGTCGCGTAGCGGGACGGGTCCATGTCCCCGCCGATGGCGCTGCCGAGGGTGCCCTCGCTGGCGGACTGGACGTCGAGACCCGCCGAGAAGGCGCGGTCGCCGGCGCCGGAGAGGACGACGGCGCGAACGTCGGGGTCATGGCTGAGCCGGTTGAAGAGGGGCCCGAACTCGCGCCAGACGGGCTCCGAGAAGGCGTTGAGCTTCTTGGGGCGGTTGATCTCGACGTGGACAACGAAGGGGGCCGGCGTGGTGACGAGAAAGTGTTCGTAGGTGTAGTCTTTGAATGTGGCGGCGACCATTTTGCGTGAGGAAGGTGAGGGTGGGAGTGAGATTTGGTGGCCTGTGATGGTGAGATGAGTTGAGTACCGCGGGTGGAGAGAGTGCGACGCGGTGTGATGGTTTGCGAGTTTGTTTGGGGCGGAAAGACTGCGAATGCGGCTCTTGGGCTGATATATGCAGGGTTCGAATCTTGAAGTTTCTTTTGCGAAAGTAAGGATGACAGCTGTGGTTGCGAGTGCGATGAGGTTCGAGCTGACAACGCTGACCGAGTTGCCGAGGCATGTCGCAGGTTGTCGCCGACCGGGGCCCCGCCTCATCTGGGGTAACGTCGCCACGCCCCCGGTGTGTCTCTAGAAAATTTGCTGCTGAAAACTCCACACTGGTGCACTCACTCCTTGTTTACCTTCACTCGGTGCGGTCACACGAAGATGTTGGAATCATTTTTGGTTTTCGCCGCCATTCACTTTGGTGGAGTTTCGGGTGATTAAGATTGTCGGCGGCCTCTAGAATGCACTATCAACCTCGAGTGAGGCATGTCGAACGTTAGCAAATCTCAGAGGTTCTTGAGCTGTTTCTTATCTCGTTGAGGTTCTCAAGTGGAGAGATCAGACTGGGCGAAACCAATGCCACGGATAAGTGTCCTCATCGCATATACTCAGTTCGGCGAGTGAATCCAAAGTCATCATTTTGGGGATGTTTGACGGGACCAAGTCTCACTCACCGCTAAGTTTGGCCATTCTCGTCTACGTCCATGGGTGCTGACGTCCAATTCTGACGAATTGTTGATGATCACTCTCACATCAAGGAGACGTTCGACTATTTATGGACTTACCTTGTTATTTATCTCATCCATGTGCGATACGCACATCTGTCGTGGTACAATATCCCTCTCGACATTATTGAGTCGTGCCTGTTTCTCCTCATTCAGGGGAAATGGCTGTGAGTCACACGCCGGTGTGCAGATGTGATGACTGTCTGCCGAAGTCCATCTCTCTCTCATTGGATGTACCCGCGTAACTCATTTTCAGAATGGGGAAAGCTCCTAATCGAAGGACGTGTCTCCCTTCTTTAGCATAGCAAGCGGATGTGGCCTCCCAAGCAGAGTGTGCTGCAGCGTGTACCTTCTTTACCCAAGTAATAGAAGGTCTAAATGCCATCGGCCCTTCCAAATCCTTGGCCAGAACATGGAAATGACATACCTCGAGACTCAGAGGGCAGGAGCTGTTGAGTGGAACCTTCAGCAGCTGCTGTCATTGCGGCGGAAGGAGCTGGGCTAGGAAGAACGATTGCGTTGCAGAGAAGGGCACTCGAGGCTGCTAATGAAGGTCTCGTTTGCCTTTGCGTGAGATCCTTCGACTGTCCACTTCCCCAACAACATCTCTCCGACCTCCTCGATTCCTCAATTCCGGACCATTTTCTCCTACGGCCAAGACCTCCTATATCCCTCCTGCCCGTATCTTTATCAAAGCCACATTAGTTCAACCGTTGATGCATTTTTCTTTCTAAGTTCTATGCGCAAGGCCCAAAGGACTCGGTCCCTCACTCCTCCCACAGAGGTTCAACGTTTGACCGACCCAAGCACTTTGGCCTACAGGGAATCCGTTCTTCGACGTTATAGCTCTGCCGAAAGATTGGGCAGCAAAACACGAAACCATTCATCTAGCTCGACTCCCACGTTTTTTTTCAAATTCTGTTGCACGCCTCAGGCCGAACTGGGCCTGAAGCCGCAGCCTGCCGAGAAGAAGCCGGCGATGTTGTCAAACTTCTTCCATCCCACCAAAACAGTTGACCTCCATCCATCTCCCGAAGCGACTGGCGACTTTGACAACACCCCTTCTCCTAGTCTTCGCCCGTCAATGGCCGAAATGTCTCTGAAAAAGCCGGAGCAAGACGTTGATTCCGTTTCGTCTGCCCGTAGCGGTGTTTTCCGCCATGCCCTCCTCAAGACTGCCTCTGGACGCCCTATGGTCGTTGACCGGGACTTGCCCGCACCTCCCGTCTTGAGCCAGCAAATCAACCCAGACGAGCCACTCGAGAAGGTCGTCAAGGAAAAGACGCCTGAGGAAAAGGGGCACGAGCACAAAGCTACGGCGTCACTTCCCTCCAGGAACTACTCTCAAGAAGGCACCTCGTCCGCGACCGAATCGGATTCCTCACATCCCAGAGAAAGGATTTGCGTTGATCCTGAGCTCCACCCCGATGAATCGCACATCAAAGCCCATCATCGAGGTCTTTTGAAGGGTGCTGACTTTTGCGACACTGGAGTGCCTGGCCAGCCTGTGGCTCAGCTTCCCGAAGATGAACATGAAAACGACGAGTCAGATCCATCCAAGGAGTCGGAGCCAACGGTGATTCTTGCGCGTGTCAAACGAGCCATGACAGGTGACGACAATTGTCTCTCAACTGTCGAAATCACACTTCCTCCCAAAGTGGAGGGCCATAGTCGTGCTACGAAAGTTCGGCCGGCCTTCAACACGCCCACCTTCCACTATCCAGTCGACCCGGCAAACCCAGGCAATCCTGTCAGTACCATCAGCCAACAGGCTTCGCTGGGTGTTTCCAAGGTGCGGCCGTTCGACTCGTCAAAGGAGCACCAGGAATCCAAGATCGGCGTCATTGGATCACCCATATCGGATTAGGATTACGTTCAAGGAGGGCACACGAACATTCCCGTTTCGAAAGTTCGTTCAGTTGCCCAACCTCCTTTGTTGAACCGAACACCAGGGCACCCATCGACCTCGAAAGTACTGCCATACACTGATCTCGCGCATGATGACCAGCAGGACAAGTACTTTGCCGATCGATCCGAAGCTTCTGCTGATGAGGCACCTCCGAAAAGCGAAAAGTCCCGAGCCCAGAGTGCACCACGTTCCAGGGCCGGCACTCTTGACTACAAAAGAACCGCTCAGTGGATTCGTGATCTGTTGAAAAACCCAGAACGACCTACAAGACTGACAGAGCTGCCTTCCAGGTCTCAGCGGTCATCCTATATGCGACTGGAAGATTCACCAGGACCCAGCCCAATCTCCCGCAAACTAACTCGCAAGTCTACTCTGCCACCTTCAAAGGTTGAAGCAGGCCTTTTCCAGAGGACTTTTGGGGAGCTGGAGCGGCTTTTGCATGAAGCATTGACTTTGGCGTCGCAAGTCGCCGACCACGAAGAAGAAAGGTCCCCATACTCGGGGCGATCTCCGCATAATCTCTCTGACGACATGGAGCCACAGACAAGGCCTCGCCGCCGCAGCCATGAGTTCTCGGATGTTGACTTGGAGGACAATAACCAGGAGACCCATTCGTTGGCCAAACGTGCAGCTACGTACCCAAATATCGATATGCGGGCTCGAGAGCACGTCGATGATCTCTACAGAAACATCTCTCTCACCCCACAGTCAGTTGTTTTCCAGGAGGCTCTCGAAGCTCACAGAGCCAAAAAGAACAAACGGCGGAAGAGTCGTCCACGCCAAGCTGCCGCTGTACCAGAGCGGGTCTCAAGTCGAAAGAAAAGCCAGGAGAGCAGAGAACGAACAGACTCGCGGCGAGTTGCAAGATTGCGCGAACGTTCAGACGTGTGCAGCATGGATGGGTCAGATGACTCCTCCTTTGTTGATTTTTCAACCCAGCCCGAAGCCCGGAACAGAAGTGGAGGACCAACTCGTCCAAGAGCCAGTGCCAGGCAGGTTCCGTTCAAGTCTCACAACACTGGCGGCGAGGCGAACTTCCCAGAGCGAGACGTTGCTGGCCGCCCGTTACATAATCTTCGTGGCATCAGTCTCCGCGGCAAGTCACACGTCAGTCTACGTGGCGTTCAGGCCTTCAACTTGCCCAAATCGAAGCGTCGTCAACCTATTGCTCGAGACTGGTCCCCTATCCGCAAGAGGGCCGTTGCAACAGTTGCGTGCATCAGCACTGCGCTCATTGGAGTGCTGCTCGGGATCTACGCTGGCTTGGTCCCGTCGCTTCAGTACTACATTTGGGACTCTGGCCATACCATCCTCAATGGCAATGTTGGCTGCTTTCTCGGTATGGCTCTTCCGACATTCTTTTGTTGGCCTCTCCCGCTGGTTCATGGAAGAAAACCATACATCACGTCCGGCTTGGTATTATCCATGCCGCTGCTTTTCCCGCAGGCTGTGGCCGTGTACGCTCAGAGGTTTGAGAATCTCACCGGATAGAGAATGGTGTTGCTTGCGCCTCGGTGCGTCATGGGGATGTGTCTTGGTTTTGCAAGCATGAACTTTCACTCCATATTGACGGACCTCTTCGGTGCATCTCTCATGAGCAGCAACCCTCATCAAGAAGTTGTTGACGATTACGACGCAAGAAGACACGGCGGTGGTATGGGAGTCTGGCTCGGCATCTGGACATGGTGTTTCATTGCCTCTCTCGGCTTTGGGTTTTGGATTGGCGCCTGGGTCATTGATGATAACCCACCGGCCTGGGGCTTTTATCTCAGCGTAATCCTCATCGCTGTCGTTCTGCTGCTGAACACCCTATGTCCGGAAGTCCGCCGGTCCGCATTTCGACGATCTGTTGTGGAAGTGAGAACAGGTACCGATGTCTCTCGAAGACTCGCACGAGGCGAAGTCATGATGCATCGTGTCAAAGATGGCCCAAAATGGTGGGGTCAGGAGATGTATCATGGAATCGCTCTTTCTCTTGAGATGCTTCGTCAACCTGGTTTCGCCGTCATCGCAGTCTACTCTGGCTGGATTTATGCACAAGTCGTTCTCATCATCGTTCTAATGGGCTCGTTGTCTTCAAGATTCTACAGAATGCGGTCGCCCTATGTCGGACTGATGGTGGCTGCCTTGGCTTTTGGCGCCATCGCAGCTATTCCCTTCCAAAAGGCCAGCTACTTCTCAAGAGCAAGACATACTCAAGTCAACACCAGCCGCATGACATTCGACAAACAAATAACGTGGACCTCTCATCTGCTCCGCCGGACGGTCTTCACCATTGGTCTTCCACTGTCAGGCATTGTTTACGCCGGAGTATCAGGGGGGCCTCCTCTCCATGCAAGTGCACCAGCTACTCTTGCAGCTGTCATTGGATTTCTGTCATGTCTGGCAATATCAGAATGCAACGGAATCATCATGGAAACCTTTGATACTTCAGACCTGCAGCCTGGCATGACTGGTCGACCGCGCGGCAACTCAGACACCCAAAGAAAGAAGAATTACTCTGCCTTTCCACGTGTCACGGCCGGGTTCGCCATCTGTCACACTTTTGGCTTCGTGTTCGCCGCTGGAGCCACTGGGCTCGGCAGCATGGCTCAAAGAACCCTTGGGCAAAGGCTATCTACTGGCGTTGTTGCTGGCATATTGTTGATTTTGACAGTACTACTATTCCTCGTCCTCATTCGCTTCAAAGAAGTCACAATCATTCCCGAGTCCAAGACGGAGGAGATGGACAGGTGGACCACCGCCCGCAAAGAGTCTCTCAAGCGTCGCGAGTCGATACCCGAAGAGCAGATCGATAAGAAAGCTCTGTTCGCAGAAGAAGAGCCATGGCGGCCTTTTATCGTGGGCAACCCAACCAGCAAAACTCGCCGAGTCAATGTTCTCGAGCTTGGAGGCATGTCTCGCTTCACAGAGATCAGAAAAAGAAACAGGCTTATTGACGCCAGCGCACATCTCAACAGGGCAGCTTTAGATGCTGGCTTGGATGCACTCGACGACCAACTCAGCGATATCGTGAGCGACATTGTAAACGATGCCAAGGACATACTCAGGAGAGGTAGCCGGCGCAGCCAAGAAAGCCGGCGCTCGCGGCACCATCACAGAAGTACGAACAGCAACAGTGGCAGTCAATCATCAATCGAGATGGATGTCATTGATGGGAGACTCGACCCTAGTAAACGTCATCTTCGAGTGCCTGATGACGTTTACAGTGAGCGAGAATGTCTCCGAGGTCAATCAGTAGAAGAGGAAGACGAGAGCTTGCTTGGAGTGACGCGTGACGCGGATCACCGAGGGGAAGGAGGACCCAGTTTGAGACAAGAAAGACGCGATAGAAGAGGCCGCAACAAACGAGACTGAAAGGCGGGCGAAACATGACTTCAAGGCAGACTGTGGCACGAATCCTAAAGACTTTCAAAATAGAATTGGGTTAAGGAAAGGTTGGACTTGTAGTAGAGGTAGTGTACATGACATATTGGGAAGAGTTAGAATGCCAGATCCTTTTTTCAAAACCAACTCCATGAATGCTATGACTGCCTCTATACCCATCTCGTGTCTCTCCTCTTGCTTCATATTAACGAGTTCTAAAGAGGGTAGGAAAAAAAAAGATGTAGCTAGTTTTACAGACAGGTAAAGAAAAGCTGCGTGCGTATTGAGTCTCGTAGAGAGTGGGTATAAATAGAAATCTTCGTCTTCGTAATGCATATAAAAAAGGGTGTGAAATGAAAGCATCGTTTTTTAATCTTGTCCATCGTTTTTACTGTACGTTCAAGAACAGATCGTCACCCCGTCTCGTGGGCGTGAGCTTGGGCTGCCACGTCGGCGTAGCAGGCAGTCCTCCGCCACCGCCTCTATTCTCGTCTCCGCCGCCTGGGATCGGGGGCGCGGGGAAGAACTCGTCGGGGGAGAAGAGCATGTCGCCTCCGGCGCCCGGGCGGTAGGGTCTCCAGTTGGGGCTGTGTCGCGTGCCGCCGTTGGCGTTGTGCTGGAGGGGCGCGAGGGCGGCGGCGCGTTCTGTGCCGAGGCGCTTGGAGAGGAGGGAGGACGTCGTCGACAGTGGGGTCGCGACGGACGCTGCCTCCGAGGCTGGCCGGAGGGGCGCGGTGAGGGTTTGGGTTGCGATGTGGTGGGGCGAGGGGGAGGGAGAGGCGGAAGGGCGGGCGGGGAGGGGCTGTTTAGGAGGCGGAGACTGCTGGGGCAGGTTCTGGAGGGATTGGCGTGAGGCTCGTTGTTGGAAGGACTGACGGTTTGGTTGCTGTTGTTGCTGCTGCTGAGAGATGCGGCGGTGGCTTCGGGGCGGAGGTTGCGGGTGGTTCTGCTGGGGAGGGACGGGAAGTGGACGAGGGGCGTCTCCCCAGAGCGCTTTGTAGACGGATGCTGATTGCGGCTCGACGTTGGGGGGCATCTGCTGCACCTGTGCCGTTTGTGCTTGGGGGTGGGCGTCGCCACGTTCGAGACGGGGGCGCTGGGGCTGTAGAGGGGGAGGGTAGAGAGGCTTCATCTGCGGAGGTCTAGAAGACTGGTCTTTCTCCGTGTCTGATGGGGGAGAGGGGGTGACGAGGCGGAGGGAGGGCGAGCCGGTGGCGATCCTGTTCGGGTCTGCGCTGGGTCGCGGCCGGGCGATGGGTTTACGAGGAACGTCGTAGCTTGCCATGTACGGTCCGCGGGCCTGCTGCTGCTGCTGTTGTTGCTGTAGCATGCCGAGCGTGGGGCTGGGTTGACCCGGTGGAAGGGCGGCGAATTGCCGTGTGGGAGGGGCAAGAAGCCGGAGGTTGCTGCTGGGTTTCGAGGACGTGCGGCCTGGAATCACGGGGTAGGAGACTGGCGAGCGGCCTGTAGGGGACGTGTTTGAGGCCGGTGACTCAACGACGGGAGAGAGGTTGCTTTGCTCCAGGATTGGATCGGGATCTGTTGCTGCGGATGAGGCGATTGTCGTCACTGACGCTTGAGAGACGTGGGAGTCGTGGCTGTCGGAGCGTACGGGAGCCTTCACTTGCGGTGTGGCAGCGCTGGTTGAGGCAACCGGAACCGACGAAGCGGCTGCAGGTGGTTGCTTAGACTTGGACGAGCTGCGGCGCCCGAGGGAGTTGCTTCGACGGCGAGGGGGCTCCGGGTGGGAGAAGGACATGCTCGGCACTGGGTGAGAGGCGCCGTTTGGCAGGGGAGCGCCTGGTTGGAAAGTGGTGTTGGGACGGGTGGTATTTTGGGAGTAGATGCTCGAGGATCGAGACTGGTGCGGAGCAGAGAGGTTGGAGGGAACGATCTCTGCTGGAGGGAGAAGCACCGGCGCAGGAGGCATCGGCATCCGGGGCGCCGTGGGAGCGATTGGGCTCCCGGCTCCATGACCAATACCCGCCTTCGAAGCTGTGGCCGCAAGCATGGCGGACTCTGCGTACGAGGGCTTCGACTTTGCTCCACCACCTGCGCTTGCACCCGAAGCATCAAGCTCGGCGAGTTGAGCCATATGAGTTGCGCTCTTGGGGTCGCCCAGCACCCAGTTGCCATTCTTGTCGGCAACATAGTACGTCGTAGCCGACTGGGGCGTCTTGCCGGTCGCCGCTGACGGAGGGCGCCAGATATTGTTCGATCGCTGGGAGCGGGCCGATGTGACGGGTGCCGAAGTAAGTGCGCCATCCTCCTCGAACTCGGTCATCGTGCTCTCGCGGGGGAGGTTGTAATGCGTGCGCGGCGGAGCCGTCAGCTTGGCTGTCCTCTCGTTTAGAATCTGAGAGTTTGTCTGCTGAGAAGGACCTTGTTGCTCCTGAGGCTGAGGAGGCGAAGAGGAGTACAGGTCGATCTTGGGGATCTTAATGGACAGAACCGGCTTCGGGGATGATAGAGACGGCTTGGCGGGAAGGAGACGGGATGTCGGGCGGGCCTGTTGCTGTTGCGGCAACTTTGGCGTGCCTGTACTCTGTCTGGAGATGGCGAGGCCAATGGCCCCAGGCCACCAACTTGTACGGGCACTTGTTCGGGTACGAGCCGCTGGGGGCGGTTGAAGTGGCGGTGATGGCGATCGGGCATGGTGCAGGGGCGGGGAGATGTGGAAGATGTTCGCCGGGCCCTCTTGTGGATGGAATTCCCAGGAGTCCTTCTCGCGCACGGGGAAGAAGCCAGTCTTGACATCTGGATAGTCTCTGCGGCGCTTGCGACGTGCAAGGCAGATTGCGAGGATCGCGATGCCCACGGCTGCTGCAATACCAACCGCTAGACCTGCCACCTGTGCCGTTCCGAGTCGCTCCGAGGAGCCTGAGTTGGATTCTTCGGCGCCGGGTACTGCAGTTGCTGAAGCAGACTGAGTCGTTGTGGTTGCTGGTGGCGGAGGCAGTGGTGTGGTGCTGGTGCTGGAAGTGGTGCTTGTGCTAGTCGTTGTCGAGCTGGTGGTCGACATAACAGACGTGTTCGACCTTGTAATGGTAGAGAACGATGGGCTTGGTACGGAGACAGTGCCCGTTGCCGTGATCAGCGTTGTCGGGATGGAGGTCGTTGTCAGGTGCCTCGTCGTGGAAGTGGGATAGACCACCGCGGAAGTCGATGGTGCAGGGACTATGATGATGCCTGCCCCCGTTGATGGCAGAATCAACGTTGCAATGATGGCTGTGTGCGTAGGAGTAACGGCCCCAGGCAGGTTCGAGCACATCAAGTAAGCTGCATCAATTACGGTCTCTGTTCAAAGTCAGCTATTGTGTGTCATGCATGAAGACTTGAAACTGACGTGGTGAATCGCTCTCGCGACAAGAGCCGATGGCCTTCTCGGCGACGATACATTGAAAAGCACCCTCCCCGATCGTGAGCCCCGTGAACCCAACATTAGCGCAGAGGCATTCCAGCGTCGGCGCGCTGCCGCAGGTAGTGAGGGCGTAATTGGCGCTCAGGTGAGAGCGGAAGCATTGACGGGCGCACGTGGGAATGAATCTTGTAATCTCGCTCGAGAGGTTAAAGGATGTGGCGGTGACGGTGACCGATAAAGTGAGTATGAGTGTCCATAGAAGCAGAGGCTTGAGGGCCATGGTATGGGAGAACATCTATAAGTTTTCGATGTCAGCGTCGTCGCGTATTCATGATTGCAAATGTTTCATTACCTCGCTGAAGATCCCATCCTTCATACGGTCTACCGACAACGAACTAAGTCTTGGTAAGTGTAAGTAAAGGCACCAAGGTAAGAAGTCTCTGTATCTTCTTGAATGTTTCGAAAAAGGTCGAGACCCAAAGGCTTGTGAGTGGCGGGAGAAGGAAAGTAGGTAGCGAACCTGTAAAGTAAAAGAGCCTATTAAGTTATTACGAGACGGCCTGCATCTCCAAGTGTAAAGTATTAGGCAAGGAAATAGAACACGACGCTGGAAGGTGAATGATCCGATAATTCCAAAAGAATAAGCTGCAGAAAGCTTCAGCCCCAAAGACGAGAAAAGAAAGAGGCTATTCCCTGCAATCGGACGAAATATGCAAAATGTAAAGACAAAGCTGAAAGGAAAAAAGCTAAAACCAGTGAGGGTGCCGTTGGGGGCTCAGCAGTGGGAATGCAACTCTTGATACATGGATGGAGACATCGTCAAGAAACAGAAAGAGGACGAGGACGAGGACGAGATGCAAGGAAGGGGGCAGGGAAGGTGGACACTCGTGCCTCTTCCGTCATCCATATGCCCGCCTGTTCACGCTCTGTCACTCAAGAGAGTATGGCTCCGCGTTTCCGCGCTTCCCTTAGTCTGACTTCATTCGACCACATCACAACTCAGGTTGCTGCCAGAGTGGACGATGGGCTTAGCGAGTCCAGTGTACTGCCTCACCATGCCGCCGACCTGCATCTTGCAGGGTCGGTTCCGGTTCCTGCAGTCGCGCCCACAGCGGCCCGTACGAGCTTGCCACCTCGCGAGCCGCCTTTCTAGATCTCAGCGAGAATGACGAAGGGCCAGACATCTCGGGGGCCACAGGTCTCCGTTTCGGGCGTCTGTCATAGATGCTGGTTGGTTGGGGGAAATAACGCTATTTTCGGGGTCCCCTCATCGCAGCGACCCGGATCCAAATTCTATGGGCAGTGTGGCGGTTTGGACCTGAGTGCAACCCATCTCGCATGCCAACATCCCAGGCATGGAAGGTTGGGTATCCAATGGGTTTGCAGATGCGGCCAAATGCATGCACAACGAGTGGCTGAGGGCCTCCCTGGCTGCCCACCCCAAATTTAGCCGCCGTTGTTGTTAAGCGCGGAGGTCGAACAAGATGCGCACGGCGAACCGCCCAAAGGCCCGGCGCCAAAAATGCGGCCGCATCACGTGATGTAGATCAGAGGATCAGGGGCCAATGAACGGTCAACTCGAGCCGAGAATCGGTGTTGAGCGTCAGGCCCAGCCGCTGGCCAGTTGTTTCTAGGCTCCCTTCCCATCCTGCGACTGTCTCCTTTGTTTCGAAGTCGCTGACCACGAAATTTCACGGATGTGATTGACTATGCTCACTCTGCAGTCTTCAAACGATAGTAACTCTTCATGCGCCGCTGGCGAGTGCTGAGGCGGGGGACCGGGGGTCATCGTCGAGCTTGACACGCTTCTCCAACGCAGGCAGCCGCCCGAGGCGTGTGTGCTACGTGTCGTCTCTCGAACTCACATATAGACCCCAATCTCTGCTCGGCGCCTTGTTCATATTACCATTAGCTTTTCTGCTTCTTATCGTGGGGTTTCATCTGAGCTGAACGCTCCCGTGGAGCTGCTGCAAGTAAGTGCCCCCAAGGTAACCTCCCTAGGTACCCAACACCGACTGTCCCGAGTCGACGCGGTGGAACTCGGGTCGTATAGAATTCCGGCAACGAAATAGCCCGAGGTTTGCAAGCTGAGCCGGGCGAAACTGACCTGGTGTGGTTAGTCGATCCAAAGTGGCATGCAAATGAGCTATTTGTGTTCAGACTTTTGCATTGTTTTCCGTTGATGGTATCTTAATATCGTTGCCTCGTTCCAAAGCCTCGAGGCCTTTGTGCAAATCCATGTCGCATCTGATTGTAGCAACTCTGTGAAGTGGCCCTACATGGCCTACGCTTGGCTGCCAATCCGTCTCTCCGCCAATCTCGTCACGTCTTCCCTCATTCACACCCGAATCGCCCGTCTGTCAAAGCTAGTACTACTTCTTGGCATCGGTGGCACTCGGGGCAAAAGCAGCCTTAGCTCTGTTGGACTTGATGACTCTCTGGACCTCATCCTCCGTCGCATCCCAGTCCTCGGCATCCAGCTGAACAAGGTCGATCTGGTACAAGTCGGCGATGCTCTTGAGGGCGTAGAAGCTCTTCTTGTCGTAGACGAAGCTGATACTGACACCAATACGTCCGAAACGTCCAGTACGGCCGATACGGTGCAGGTAGGTCTCGGGGTCAGGCTCGGAGTCGCCGCGTCCCTTCATGGGAATGTCATAGTTGATAACCATGGACACACTGGACACGTCGATACCACGCGCCAGAACGTTCGTGGTGAGAAGAACCTTGGATACACCAGTTCGGAACTCCTCCAGCAAGCGATCACGCTCAGGACCATCCTTGGCACCGTGAAGGGCCGACACGCGGTGTCCATCAGCCTCCATTCTGCGCTTGATCTCATCGGCACTCTCACGAGTCTAAGGCATGTTTAGCCGGCAAGTCCTTTACAAAACATCGTGATAGAAAAACATACCCTGACAAAAATGACGGAAGATCCGATAGTCATGAGACCATAGAGCTTGACAAGGTACTCGTACTTATGCTGCTCACTGGGACAGTCAATGTACATCTGAGAGATACCCTTGACGGTCAGCTCGGTGTGTTTCAGACGGATCTGATCAGCCTTGGGCGCAAACTTCTCGGCAAAGCCCATAACCTTGTCTGGGAAGGTGGCAGAGAACAAGAGGATCTGAATGTCGCGGGGAAGCATGCTGAAGAATCATTAGCTCATGCATGTTAACTGCAGGCGAGGGAGCACCTTACTTCTTGACGCGCAGGCACTGCTCGCCAAGGCCTTGCTGGTCAAGCATGTTGTCAGCCTCGTCAATAACAAGAAGCCTCAACTGAGAGATGTCCAGCTGGCGTCTGCGGATGATGTCCATGACAGTGCCAGGGGTTCCGACAATAACGCTAGCGCGAACGGCAGCGTTACGCTCCAGGGCGCCAGGGAGAGCGGCAGCGACTTTGAGACCTTCGCAGAACTGTCCGATGCTGCCGACGACTCCTTCAATCTGACGGGCAAGCTCACGACTAGGTGCGAGAATCAAGGCTTGAGGCTGCTCGGGCTTGGTGTAATCGACTCGCGACAGGGTGGTGACGACGAACGCAGCGGTCTTGCCGGTTCCGGATTGCGACTGTGCAATCATGTTACGGGGAGGGTTCGTGAGCATGAGAGGGAGAGCCTTCTCCTGAATTTTGGAAGGCTTCTGGTAGTTCAGAGCAAGCAAACCACGGTGAATCGGCTCGGGACTTTGCGACATACTGTCAGCATTGGGAATAAACTGCTCGAGGGGAATTACATACAGTCCCATGTCGGCGAAGGTTTTAGCTGAGTAGAGGGTGCTGTTCTGGTCGGACTGAAGGTCGCCCAGCTTGACATCGACATCGTAGGTGTTCTCGATAAGGCCAGAGCCACCGAGAGGCTCGACGGTGCCATCGAGCTGGCCCTCCGCAGGCTTGCTCTCCGCAGGGGCGGCGGCCTCAGCAGCAGCGTCGGCAGGGGGCTCGGTGATGCGACTCGCAAGGTCGGCCATGGTGATGGAGATGCGCGCGTACTTCGGGAGGGGGATCTGCAAGAAATCGTTCAGAAATCGCGAAGCTGGAGAGCTGCGCGGCGTCGGGAGCTTACTGGTGAGGTCGGAAGGAAGAAGCGGTATGTTCGCCCGTCTGTACCCGCCGCGAAAAGAAGTTAGTTGTTGGCAGAAGCGCGCAGGAGAAGCTTGCTAAAATTGCGGAAGGCGAACGGGGAAGAAGTTGGAAGGCTTACATGCGCGCAAGGGTCTTTCACTTTGTGTTGAGGGAAAGAACAAAAGGGACAGGCCGGGAATTTTTTTTTTCGGTCTGTTTGGCGGCGAATTGGAAGCTCCAGAAGATCGAATTTCTAGGAAGCTACGTCGTTGGTCTCTCCTGCCTGTGCCTGGGACGCAACCTGGAGAGGCCAATGGCGGGGCTACCGCGGGGCACTTTTCAAGCCTGATATATCAGGCATTAATTAAATAGCTGCCAAGAGCTTCACAAGACCAAGAAGGTGCTACTTTGGGTGATATTTTGGTCAACCTTCGATTTCGGAATAGACATTCATGAATACCTACACTCATCAAGAAGACCTAGCAAAGCTCGGCACCTCTCTCAAAAATTCTGTTCATTTTGGACCAATCAATGTGCCCTGTAGAAATATGACAAGCACATGTCTTCCACCACTTCTCGTGTCACTGGGTGTTGTTGCGGTGGCTGAGGTGCAATGCTCACTCAGCCAATTTTGGGGCATTGGCTTACCTAAGGTAGCAAGAGGTCCTTAAGCTGAAGTTCGTTTAGGAACGGATGAGTTGAGCTGATGAAGGAGCTGCACCCTGCCTGAAGGTTCCACGTGACAGATGCCAATCCATAGTTTCCGCGGATAACGAGTCGCGATGCAATGACCCAGCGGCATCATGGCAATGGAGCTCCCTTGTTCGGGCGCCGTCTGTTTCATTGCGACCCGACGTCATTCATGCAAGCCATAGCCATACTCATTATGCTGAAGAGTGCAAACAACAGCGGAATGGAGTTATTCAAGGTCCGGCACGTGTGGCATAACAACCCCTCAGTAAGGTTGACTCTGGAGAACATGGAGGCCAACCTGAGACCCCTGCCTCCACGCTCAGGAGTCAGGCCTCAACGGCACCAATGGGTGGAGTTCCAGTGGCTGGCGGTCATTCCGCCACCCCACCACAGGCCTCTTCAGCGCGCACCTAGTGCACCGAGCAGCCGGAGAAACGCGCCAGTGAAGCAGCTCAGGTTCCAGTCTGCCTGAGAGGGAGCTGACGACGTCTCCGTCCGATGTCAATGCCCCAGGTTCCGACTTCCAGGGCAGCCCACCAAGCGTACCTAAGGAGGCAGGTAAGCTGGTGGGCGAGGTACCTTCCAGCCCAATCTTGCTCATCAGCTACATGTGCA